TGTGTACGAACAAAAGATGATGACACCCGAAGAAGCTGCGAAGACATTTTTCAACACTGACAAATACCCTTTCAACGACCAGGCAAAGCAGATTATCTATGTCGTATCCAACATTTTCTGGAACAACACCCCGTTTCCTACTGATGAATTTCGACCGCTAACTCAGAACGAAGACTTTGGCGCGACGTACTCGTATATTCTGGAGATAAATGCAGCCGGAGACATATGCGGAAGCGAGTGGGTAAATAAAACTATTCATGCGCATGCCGACTTTTTGTATGTGGTAAAGGAAAAACCTGCTGCTGACCTGGTGACGAGTGTTGGGTTTAGCTACGCCAACGTGTTAAAACTGATTGAGATGTCGGCTGCGTGCACGAATACGATCCAAATTGCGAACTAAGAGCCAATTGCTTTATACAGAGCATGATTCAGAGAATACAGAAAGTCTTTGCCATTCATATTTTTCTTTGTTTATAATGTGTTTGAAGGTTAATAACGGCTTTAGTAATCGTTGGTCGCAAACCTAGTGCAGAATAAAGCATGAGGATTTATGCACTGCATCTTCAATTAGATGATCTATCTCTTTGTGTTACCGTCAGTACTTTTACTGTTTATTTCTGTATCAACTGGCTTAGTGGCGGTACTCGAAGCTTCACATATTGCCCACAATAATTAAATTTTCCATCTTGATGATTGCACTTTTGTCGTTTTTGATATATTCATACACCACGCAATCATAACGTTGTGATACTGGTGTAGCTTTGCCATAGATTCTGAAAGACAGGACTGGAAGCCGAGAATATTATTTCTTCATGCATATTTTGTGCAAGACCTGATGAAGAAAATGGTATCAGCATGCTTCGTGCCGTTCGCAAAGTATAATAAATAAAGTTTGTGTCGACATCATAATATTAGCGTGAATCAATCGTCGCAGAAGACATCAACTTGAGGTGAGTGTTGAACTCGAATCATACACGAGGGCAACACCGATGATTTACGACCGTGTGAAAGGATTCTAGATATCTGGATTACTTGAATACTTGGATTACATGACCAACAACCATCCATACTATACTCAACTGTTGTTCTTCAACTTCATTTTTGCAACGCTTGCTATCGAACGACAAGTGCACTATTTAGATTTTGCGATACATCTCGGCGTTGTTATAGAAGATGTCATTACCATCCCACTTATCATATTCATTCCATGTGTCTACACTTTCAAAACAAAGAAGACGATATGTATATGAATGGCGATTTTTCTACATTACAAGTCAAGTTCGTTGTGTATCATATCAGATCTATTATGCACTAGTGGTTTGGCGTAAACCATAACGATATTTTCTGACTAGCCCCTTATGGCACTTCACGATGAAAATCGACCGCATGGTAGTTCGGGAGTGAATGATGCCTGAATTTGATTACATAACTTACAAGAAACGTGTCTTTTTACATTTTGAGCACATCGAAAGACATACTCAGTGGCTTTTAGAGTAAAAGAAATGACTAGATATTGACCAGTATGCGTGACCTACTGTGCATTAAATGGTGCTTATGGACACGTCACTAAGGGCAATGCATCACAACTCTGAATTAGCGATCTTTTAGCCTTGTGAACAACAAATGGTTTCTTTATTCGCTTTCGGTATTAATGTATGCATCCAATAGGCCAAAGATACACCGAAGCCTGCTTAAACTCACTCGGCCATGCTACAAACTGAGCAGAAGAGCATCGTGTGTAACGGGGTTACATGAGAGTGACCCGTCACTCTCCCAAGGGAGCTGTGGTGTG